CGCCCCAGGGCTCTGGCAGTGGGCACCGCTGCGGCTTTTCCCGCCTTCCCCCACGCCGTGGAAGCCTTAGACCAGATCTCCTCGCTTGTAAGAGTTTATATCCCCCGCTGGAGAGGCAGCGAGGATCTAATTGCTGCCTCGATGCTGTTTGCTTTTCCATACGGCAAAGCAAACTGCGCTTTTCATCTGTCGCTGGTGCAGGAGCGGCAGCGGGTTTGGGCAGGCCTGTTTCTGACAGAGGAAAGAAGCAAAATCTCTTGTCCTTGCCAGCAGTAATGGCTAAAAGAATATGGCCAGAAAAATGGATGGGGAAAGCGCTTTAATTATCCAGATCAGAAGGCTGTATGATAAAGGAAAGAGCGCTTCTTGAGAATTTAGGTCTGAATAATTGTCTTGCCTCATTTGCTGATTAAATGTTGTGGTGGTCATAATTATACACGCGAGCTCCGGCCTGAAACAAAACATCATAAAAAATTAATTAAAGAATAGCGTGAGATCACTCAGTTATGAATCAGTAACTTGGTTTAAAAGCATGGCTTGAATCTCAAGAGAACACTCACTTCACTTCAGATTATTTCTTTCCCCCCCCCCTTTAATTCTGGATACTCGCATGCCTGTGGCTTCATCATTCATGTCTGTCAGGTTTTTCTAGTAGCAGGTAAAGCCTGAGTCAGGGAATCAGCACTTGGGGATTTTTGTTCTTAGCCTCTAACTTATTTGAGTCATCTTGAAGAGTTTTATGTGTGATAACTTCACTTCTTTTATGCTTTCTTCTCTGAAGTGAGAATCTGTCCCTATAGAAGATCAGAAACTAGCTCTTACTGTTTAGACCAACTTTGAAATTTTTTTATAAAAAGAGGTAGAGCGGTTTTTTGTGTTATTTTTCTGGTGCCACTGATATGTCCTCAAGTTGGAAGGGGGTGTTGCTGATGTTGAGGTACAGAGTGTTCACCTATGTGTGTGTCTTTATTTTTTAGGCTCTTCTACCTATGGCAAATGTGGCCATGATTGACTATACTTTGGAGTTCCTAACAGCAACTGGAGTGGAAGAAACCTTTGTTTTCTGCTGTTGGAAGTCAGCTGAGATAAAAGAGCATTTACAGTAAGAAACTACTTTTTAGTTTTATCATAGAAAGGATTCTTTTATCTTCCAGCAAGCTTCCAAGGTGCCACTGATCCTTCTGATGAAAATCATGTGCTAGAGATTCCCTTTCAAGAGAACTGTCCTAATACATCTCAAAAAACCACTGTTCCTCTTGTGAAGGAGTGTGGTTTTGCAGTGTATTAAAAGTGTTGACTGTTTTGGAACTGCATTTGTATTGGCATTTAACTTTGATTGTCTAAAAGCAGGGATTTCCTGGGTAGCCGTGTAAATTAGAGTACTCCCCTTTGTGTTATGCCCTGTCTCGGTCTGTTGTTGAGTGGCATATGGAAACAGCTCACTCAGACAGCAGTTTTGCCTCTGCATGCTGCAGCTTTGCAAGCTAAAGAGAAGCACGTGGTCTTTTCCCTGCCTGAGGTCCTGCTTTCCGAGAAGAAAAGTCTGGGTGGTGTGTGACTTCTCCTTCTCCTTTGTCATAACTTGTCTCACAGTGGAGTCGGATTGCCTAAGTTACCCTAAGCCTAACCCTCCTCAGTTTCTCTGCTCTGTGCAAATGAGCATATCTAAGCCTATGGATAGTGGGCTCGTTGTAATAGGATTCTCCCTGCATTTAGTTACAGATGTGGCATGCACTGAGGCACTGTGTCCTAGTGTGTTCTCTGTAGGGATAGCCTCTTTATGCCTTCCTGGTGTGTTTTTCTCCTTCCAGAAAATCCAAGTGGTGCCGCCACACGTCTCCCAACACGGTGCGCTTTGTGACTTCTGACCTGTACCGCTCCCTTGGTGACGTGCTACGAGACGTTGATGCCAAGTCCCTTGTTCGTTCCGACTTCATTCTTGTCACTGGAGATGTAGTGTCCAATTTCAATATATCCAAAGCCCTGGCAGAGCAAAAAAAAGGGTACGCTTGCTTGGTGTGCTGAGACTCTGGGCTCTGACACTCTGAAGAGTGATATTGAAAGTTCTGCCCTTCTTTTTCAGGTTGCGTCGTAAGATGGAAAAGAATATTTCTGTGATGACGATGATATTCAAGGAGTCCTCACCTGGTCATCATGCCAGGTGCAAAGAGGATGACATTGTTATTGCTATGGACAGTGCCACAAACCGTGTCCTTCACTACCAGAGAACCCAGGGGCTGAAACGCTTCCGCTTTCCTATGGTGCGTCTGGAACCTGACGGGTGGAAAAGGGCTGCAGTAGTGAAGCAGCCCACCCCAAGGAGGAGGTCCTCCTTGAGTGAGGGCTGGGGAACTGTGCTTGCTGCTTCCTTTGGAGGAGCAGATGATAGGAAGTAACTCTTGGTAAACGCTTTTTTTTCTTTAATTTTTTTTGAGGCTTGGTGAAATCATGCTGGGGCGCACATGTCTGGGACTCATTTCAGAGATGGGGCAGGCATATTTCGGTTTTTGCATTTATTTGATTACTTTCTCTGTGTGAAACGAGTGAGGCGAATGATTTGTGCTGTTGCAGGGGTTCTCAAATTGGGATGCATATGTCGCTATCATACACAAGCTCTTTTGAAACACTGAGCCTGGCATGAAGGATGGACTGGCAGGTGCAAGGGGTAGTACCCTGTTACCTCTGCCTGTACTGTTCACCTAAAAAGGTTATGGGCTCTTCTAATAATTAGTAAATGCTCTGTAAATGTCTGTGGAGGTACTTTCTCCAGTGAGATAGATGGACCTTTTTCTTTTTTCAGCTAAGACTGTGATTATATGGTATTTTCATCCCCAAATCAGTAATCAGCAGATTATTTTTTACCTTCAAATGAAAGCACAAATTACTGTAGGAAACCAAAAAGGAAAGAACAAAACAAACAAAAACCAACAGCAACAAAAAACCCAACACACAGCTGTAAAAATCCAGAGGGTGTATGGAAGCTGTAAACATTGCAGTTTGATTTAATAATGTTCTTTGTATGTTGGTAGCTCTCAGCAACAAAGGTAAAGAGGCTCCTGGAGGAAAAGTGATTGTTTGAAGTACAAGCTGTTTCTTGGAGAGCTGCTCTGTGTAAGGACGAGGGCAATCTCTGCTGACTGACACGAAGCTCTGTGTGTGACCAGGCTAAGCTTGTGTCTCATTGTAGATTGTAGATTTCTCTGATCTTCAGAACTTCAGCTGGTTTAATAACTCAGTCAATACTGCTTCTGGCTTATAGAAGGCTTTTGGGGTTTCGTACTGCTTAGGCACTTGGATCATCTGAATTTTTTCCTCTTTTAGAGTCTGTTCCAGAACTCTATTGAGAACGTTGAGGTGCGCCATGACTTGCTAGATTGTCATATCAGCATCTGCTCTCCACAGGTGAGTTCTGCCCTTGTGAGGGTCCAAAATCCAATTTGCATTGCTCTCTTTGTCCTGCTGGTGTGCGGGGGGTGCCTGTGGCCTGAGTGTAGTAGGTTTGGAAACCAGAACTCCCAATTGTGCTCAGTGACTGAGCCGAGAGCCCGAGTGATCATGTGGTGCTGCTCTGCGGACCGTATGGGTGCTCAGTCTTTATCTGGCATCCACTGCTCGAGCCCAGGCAGAACTAGACAGTGGATGCATCAGTAGACTGCCTGATTTGGCACAGGATGAAACTAATCTGGAAAATAAGCAATTTCATTTTGAGTACAGCAACGTCTGTGGGAGCAGAGGTGATGGCTATGGAAAAGTGTCAGTACTTGCAAGCTGGTACCATGTTAGGATAGCATTCAGGGTTATTCCAGTCCAGGCTTGCTGACACCTCTTCCACACCTGAAAAAGCTGGTCTACAGCCTTCCTTTGGGAGTGACACTACAAAGTGAGGCTGGACAGATTACTTGGAAATGCTAAAGCAATGTTTTGCCCCTTCAGAAAACCAGAATCTGTTCATAGTCTCTGTTAGGAGGAGAAGATGGGAAGGTCAATACTCATAGCGGAAGGAATCAAAGCTTTATTCAAGGCAAGAGCATCACTTCCCTGTACTGTATAACTCTGCTCTCTGAGAACCACTGAACAGCCATTAATTATCTGGTTTCCCTGGCAACATTTTCTGCTAACTGCATTATTTCCTTATATTTTATTCCTGGCAGGTGGCTGAGCTGTTCACAGATAATTTTGACTACCAGACACGGGATGACTTTGTGCGTGGTCTGTTGGTGAATGAGGAGGTAAGGAGAGGGTTGTTACAAGGGAGAGCCTATGACCTTGTGTTAGAGAATCTTCTGACACGCTGCTGCCTGTCTGCCAGGTCCTGGGGAACCAGATCCACATGCATGTAACGACGGAAGAGTATGGTGCCCATATATGCAACCTGCTAATGTACGAAGCTGTGTGCTCTGACATCATCCGGCGCTGGGTTTATCCTTTGACTCCAGAGATGAACTTCACCGATGACAAGAATCAGAGTTACACCCATTCTAAACACAACATTTACCGGGGGGTGGATGTTAGCCTCGGCCACGGCAGCGTGCTGGAAGAGAACGTACTCATTGGGCAGGGAACGGTCATCGGCAGGAACTGCTCCATAACAAACAGCGTTATTGGGCAGAACTGCAGGATAGGTGAGTACAAGAATGGGGAACATGCAGCCCTTGCCAGGCAAGGGCACAGGTCCTTGGGATTTAGTTTTTAAAGTGCATTTGGCTCTGAGAAGATGATAAGTACTGATTGACTTCTAATGGGAAGAAAGGGGAAAAGCTTGGTTTTCCAGCAGAGGAAATAGATTAAAGTTTTCAGAGTACCATAACAGTGCTGAAAGGTGGAAGGCATTTCATGCAGATAAGTTGTTTCAGCAGTAGAGAATGCATGGCCTTTACTGATCTAGAGTTATTAACCACCAACATCCTGCAGATGAGGGACACGTGTCTCTGTTTTTGTGAGCTGTATGGTACTCCTCCTTCTTAGTCTTGGCTGGAATTCTTTTGTGATTTGGTTGTATTTGTGCAAAACCAAGATGTAAGTTGTTACTGTCAACTTGTTAAATCTCTTTAGTGAACAAACTCATCTTTGAATTTTGGGTAAGAAGTGGCCGTAGGCCTGTAAGGCCAATTTTTACCTTTCATCTAACATCCATCATGTATCAAGGGCATTGGGATTCAGTAAGACGCTTTCTAGTGGACTCAGCACTGTAGGAGAGCAGCAAACTGCCTTGTTCAACATATTTGTGCTTGATGATCTATAACAGGTGATAAAGTCATTTTGGACGGAGCTTTTCTCTGGGACAGAGTACACATAGCAGATAACGTGGAGATCTGCCATTCCGTTATCTGCAATGAAGCTGAAGTGAAGGAGAAAGTAAAGCTAAAGCCCCACTGTGTCCTCTCTTCTCAGGTGAGCTGTATTTATGTCTGTTCTGGTTTCTGCCTTTCTTGGCAGGTTACTAGACTTACACTAGACCATACCAGAATATACCTGCTCCAAGCCCTTTTGCAGAGCTGGCGAATATGTTACTGCTCCCACCTTTTTCTTCCTTTTGGCTAGGGTAGTAAGATATGTGATTTAGCAGTGCTGATGTCTTCAGTTATACTTGTTAGTATACAGCTTGTCTGGAGCAGCTGTTTTCCCTGCTGATGGAGGTACAGGGAGGCAATCAGGGTGTTTTCTCATTAAGATATGTTGCACATATTTGCAGGTAGTAGTAGGTCCTGGCATCACTCTTTCTGAGGGCACAGTGATCTCTCTGCACCCACCAGATGAGGAGGAAGAGGATGATGACCAATTCAGTGATGATTCTGGCGTGAACAAGGAGGAAAGCAAAGTGAAGCTGAAAGGTATGAGAGTCTCTGGCTCCATGCATTCAGGCTATATAGAGAGCTTTGCCTTCCAGGATCTTTTGGGGCCTTTCCCTCCCCCATTCTAGACTGTGCAGTGCCAGGATGGAGCTTAGTGACACATTCAGCTTGGAATGTGTGTGTTTTCAGTAGGGCAAGCAAGGATATTCGGCTCAAGTTGGACAGTGAGATGTACCTCAGTATCCCAGTATTAAAATCCGCTATTTTCTGTTTTTCTTAGAGTAGGAGCCTTGTAGGAGACAATAAGCTGAAGTTGGAAGAGATGTTCAGTTCAGGACAGGTTGCAAGATCTATATCCTCGTACCTGGACTGTGTCAAAGGACTTTGTCCTTGTGAAATACTGTTTCTACCAGTCTGGGTTTGTTGAAGGATCTAAACATGGTCGGCTGCTGTAGGGAGGAGTAAGTTGGTCACTTGTCAAGGCAAGTGAGAAGATAAAAGCTGAAATCCATATGCATCTGCAGGAATCCCAGCTCCCTTCTGATGAAGGATATTTAAGGGCAGTAATATGCAGGTTACACCAACCTTATTTCAGGTTTGCCTGTAAGCAGATCCAGTACTTCTGCCTCCTAATCACTGTTTCTTTTTCAGGTTACAGTAAAAAGGATGTAGGCTCAGAGGGCAGAGGCTATCTCTGGAAAGCAGATGACAGGAATGAAGAGGATGAAGAAGAGCAGAGACAAAGCCTATGGGGTGAGGAAAAGCTTAGCGTAGTCACCTGGGGATGGACAGACAGACTTGTGTCGGGGAAGCTGGCTGAGTGGGATGCTGATAATTGTGTCTAGAGTAAGACCTGGACTTTGTGAAGCAGGCAGGCTCCAGGTAACCTGTGTGTAGGCAGGGTGAGAGGTGAAAGCAGGTGGTGGACCAAATTATCTCTCTTCCTGTGCTCTGTGGAAGAGGTTTATTATATCTTTGACGTAACGCTAACACACGCAGCTGTCTGCTGCCAATGGCTCACCATGGGATACCAGGCCCTCCCTTGGAGGGAATGTGCTTTGGCTATTCCGGGTACTGCTGGCTTTCCTCCTGCTAGTGACAGTATCTGCTGACATTGCTCTGTCATGAGTCAGCAGTCTGTCCAAAATGCATTTGCTTCTGTCCCTGTCCTTTGTTGTCTGCCTGCAGACTTTTAAATAATAGTCCCATTATCCTAGTACCAGCTGTAGCATTCTTTTGCAGCAAATCTAATCATCTGGACCTGTAAGTAGAAGCTTCGTTGCAAGGACTTGGTTGGGAAGTCCCTGGGACACCTGGTTCCTCATGCATATGACAGTTGCAGCTTTTGAGTGTTGAATGCTGAGTCTTCTCTTCTTCATCAGGCCCAGCTATGCATTCAGAGGAAGAGACCGAGTCGGACAGTGACCTGAGCATGGGCTCTGAGGAGCCAGACAGTCGGGCAGCGTCTCCTCAGCTAGATGACATCAAAGGTGAGAGATAGGCTGTTAAGAAGTATGGTGCATCTGCAGATAAAGCAGTGAGTGTGAGATTTGTACTGCTTTCTCTAGGTATATTGGAAAATCTATATATTGGACATCTATAATATGTTTGTTTCTTGAACTCACTTTCTGCATTTTCTGCAGAATTCTTTAATATTCCCTGTATTGCTGTTGTGTTAACCCAGGGCAGCCAAAGATGAGAAGCTAGACAAAGTTCCTCCATCTTTCTAGCTCCTGATCACTGGGCCTTCATGAAAGTGACCTCCCTGAGTTGTCTTTTTAAATAGCGATGTCACTGCCTAAACTTGGAGATTGTGTGAAGGTCCAGCAGAGTTTCCCTGGGTGGTCAGCTTACTACTGTAATCGTCCTGGAGAACTAAATGTCCTTGTAGGAGCTGCCTCTTTTGGCAGGTATGTTTTGGTTCTCCGTTTTGTTATGGTAAGCTCACCTGGATTTGAAAGGGGTTCAAGCCAAATTGGAAAATAAAAAGTCTTTTTCACGTCAAAATATCTCTTTGAAGGAAATTAAACCAATAAATTTTAGGTTTGAATTCATATCTTTAGTTAGAGGAAGATGAGGTTTGTCTGAATAGGGAAGGCCAGATGGTGAAAGTATAACGGAACTCTGCTAAAAGGTTGGAGAGGTAAATAGCTTTGTACTGGTTTGTGTGGATAGATCAATGAAATATAATAGGTTGTCTCCTTTATTGGAATTTATATTCCACCATTTATAAGTGCAGTTGATGTGGGCTTGTGCCAGTTTATGGAGATCAAGTAGGCATCTATATCAGAATGCTTCCTTTGTTAAGGGCATGGTTTCTTCAGTAATGAACACTTGGATGAATCTGTGCTTTTCCCTCTCATGTCTAGCTATCTGTCTTTTCTTTCATTAGTTTTCCAGAATGAGGTTCTGGGTACCTTACAGAGGGGCGAAGAAGAAAACATTTCCTGTGACAACCTGGTCCTGGAAATCAACTCCCTCAAGTGAGTGGTCCCTTAGGGATGCTGTCCCTCATGCTGAATAGTTGGGTTTGACAGTGGATCTGGAAAGAAGAGGAGAAACCATGTGAATGCCCATGTTTGACTGTTAAACATTAATTTTATCAGTATAGAGCATGAGAAATGCAGATTAGAGATCATGACTGAATGATGACAGGAGAGCACCAGCTGTATCTATAGCATCCTCAGTGGTTAGGCTTTTCCTGCCTCAGTTCTGTAACAAGAGATTGAATTGCGATTGAGTAACTGTGGACTGAAGAGAGCAAGCCAGTTCTTGGCACAGACTGCCTGTAAGTTCATGCAGGGGCTGCTGCTCTGCATTGCAACATTCAAACAGCTGCCTGCAGCTGGGGCTGTGGTGTGGCTTGTCCACTCTGTTTTTACAGCAGCAAGATTAGAACATGTCATCAGACTGCCTTTTACCTAGTCTTTCTCAAATACAAACCTGTTTCCCTTCTTTTGCACAATGGTATTCCTACAGCACTCTAGTAAATGTGAGGGTGCTGTGCCTGCAGCAGCTTGTTTCACTGTGGTAGCAGATTTTCAGAACTTGTGGCTTTATGCAGGGTCTGATGCAATGCAAGGTGGTTTTATTGCCTGAATATTTGGAAAAACAAACAAACAAATTTAAAACAAGTCTGGGGGATGAAAATCAAATTTTCTGCTGTATCTCTGTGAAGAGCCACAGTCAGATAATGTGAAATGTTGGGGTGTTTTGCCTTTTTCCTCGCAGGTATGCATATAACATTGGCCTGAAGGAGATGATGCAGGTGCTCAGTAAAGTGATCCTGGAGTTCCCACTGCAGCAGCTGGATGCAAACCTGGACTCCCAGAATTATTTCTCAGCGTTACTTCCTGTGAGTCTTGCTCCATTTGACTCTTCTTTGGGCTCATCTCCTAGTATGTAGGAGTCTGTCTGGATGCCCCAGATAGTTCCTGGCTGAGAAGTCTTGTTGGTTAAGCCTGAAGCCCCTTGAATTCAGGAGCCTCTTTTGTCTTCTATGGAAGTAAAAGTGAACTGAAATTATTGTGCCTGCTTGAGAGAACTCAGCTGAGACTGTAGGTGTGGGGAGCTCTACTTCAGCACCTATGGTTGTTTCTGTTTCATGTGTGCAATAGTAGAAATGCATGACTTGTAGAAGAGAAAAGAGAGGGACTGTTACAGATGTCTTTACAGGCTTGCATTCCAAGAACCCAGTTCCGATCCATCATAAGCCCTGTCCCTGGGGCAGCAGGGAGCGCTCCTCTCCCAATGGGATCCTTTCCAAGGTCTTACTTGTCTGCATACTGTAATTGGTGCCAATTTTTTTCCAGCCAAATGCAAAGCCACGATATTGTTGTCTTTGAGCAAAGATACAGAGCTCTGTTGTGTCTCTAAAGAGATGGGTTGCATAACTGGGTAAGACAGATTTCTATTCCCTCACTTAAGGGAGACAAAATAAGGTAGGATCTGCTTTAAAAAGCAGGCAGTCTTATCTTAATGGTTTTGTTGATCCAGGCTGAAGCCACTGCCATATTTTTGTCTTTTTGTTATATCCTATTTATGTATTTTAGTTTGCAAACTACAGATTACAAAGGTTCCTTTCAGAATGATTGGGCCTGACACATATTTGGGAAGGACTAGTTTAATTTTTTTAGGAGATGGAGCTCAAGAGGAACGCTAGACATCCTCATAATCCTTTCTCTGAGGAAGTATGTGGTTTCAATTGATGGGGAAAGGTAGAAAACTAATTCTTCTCTACGTAGGTGTAAGCATGGCATTTAATTCATCCCCTGGACGTGTGGAGATGCCTTCTGTAGGAAACATCCATGTGAACTGATCTGTTCATCAGATAGCTTAGTGAGATTTTGCTGTTCACTCTGTTTAAATTCTGCTTGCTGTCGTTCATTTTTCCAGGCTGTTTTCTTGAATAGCATGTCCTGTCCTGGAAAAAGAGAGCTGAAGGAGGAGGACGGAAGAGAACATTAGAGCAGGTGTTAGACTCTAAGTGGAAAGCAGTACATAGACAACAGGTTGTGTGGAGTTGGTAGCTGTGTAGGATGGACTGGGTTTTTTCCAGCTAGGATACAGCATCTCTTTCTGTCTCCCAGATTGGGCTCCTGATCTAGCATGAGTAGGACAGAACTTCACTGCAGCACCCAGTCAGAAAAGGTTCTAGCCTGCGATAAAGGATACTACATAAGTGCATAATGTTCTGCGTAATTGCCCAAAACCTCTTAGAAGCTAAAGACAATGGAAGCGCATGAAGGGCTTACCTCTGGGTAACTTTGTCCATATACATTTCATCATAGGAAAGCTGATGCTCATGTTTAACAGCAGAGACAGCAAATCAGCTCGCCTTTAGTGAGAAGCAATAGTAATCCAAATGTAATATTCAGGGTGACCATGCCCAATGTCATGGACAAGTGAAATTCCTCTAGGCAGGGTATTGTGTGCCATGTGCATTTATGAAACACAAATTATCCTTAGATTTATCAAAGAGAGCTAAGTGTCAAACCAATTGACCATCCTGGCAGCCAGTTTCTCCAGATGCTCCTTTACAAGAACAACCAGGAAGTGTCTTAGAGAATTCTTCTCTGGGATGGTTTTGTGCCTTGTTGTCTTTACTGTGCAGAATTGTTGTGCTGGCTTTCTGTA